TCAACCTTCACATATTCCATGATTTTTGCTGAGGTGATTTTTTTTTTTTTTTCCTGTGGCATCCAAGGTTAAATGTCACCCCCTGCATTTTTGTTTTCTCTGTGACAGCAAAAGTTAGGAGTTTGGGAGAAGAGAACATTCAATTAAACCCCTTCAGCGACATAAAACTGAGACTCAGCTCAACAAGTTCACACCAACTTCTCACTGGAGTCATTTAGCCGGTTCCTCATACCGCATGGTTGGCAACAACATAAATACAACAGCAGAAGTTGAGGCAATTGCTGAGTGTGACCTTCCATTAATAAGAAACCTACCAGGAGAGTTTTATGCAACTAATACAAACAAGCAGGAATTGTGACTGCTGTGTGCTGCACTTGAAGAGCCAACGAGGCTTCCTCCAAGCCATCTTAGCACTCTCACACAGACCTGGATCATAGAAATGGGGTAATTGAAACAAAAGGGCAGAGTTTGACAGAGATGTAGTGCCTTCGCAGAGTCTCTGCACAGACTGCAGAAAATAAGACCCAACTCCTCCCCTCTGCAGGGTCCATCCTCTCTGTGTCCTCCGTAAAGGCGGCGTCCTTTCTTCGCTTTTCAAGACGGCCATTTGCAAATGATAAGTGCAGGGACACAGCCTTGTGAAAGATAAGGCGGCCGGACATTTGTCATGTAATCGAGCGTGCTCCACGGCTGTTTAAGGCTGACCTGTGTTGACATGCACTGTTTACCTTTTATTTGTTTATTCTGAACTATTATCTCTGCCTTCATTAATCACCACAGGCTCAGACTGAGGAAATTACTTTGCAGACTTCGGACAGGAAAATATTAACTCGAATTAGGTTTCTTCGTTTCCTCCTGGCAAATAAAAAATGCAATATTTGATTAAGTGAGTCCAGCAAATAAGCAGCTACGCTCTGTCACTGTGATACTGTCCATTTCTAACTTGAAATTCACAGCGAGCGGATTGTAAACCCGAGGCGAGAAATCATTTAAATTTTTCTTTGTGTAATTGCTTTCTTGCGCTTTATGTCCTGCATTTTTACTTCATGCAAATTTACTGTTTGGAAACTAAACAGTCTGAAGTCAAACTAGCTTACCACGCTGTTCAAATTGTTCTTTTGCCTGTGTTAGTTGAATTTATTTCCAGTGACGAGCGAGGCCATTAAAAAAAATAAAATACTCTTTTCGGGTATAAATTATCATTTCCCTTTAGAAGACCATACTCTGGCAAATGCACGACGATCACTTGCCATGCATTAGCTACAGGACAAAAACGAAGTGATTTTAAATTCCTTTGACCAGAAGGCAATTTCCCCCCAATAAATTATGTTAATTTCAGCTTTTGCTCTCCTTATCACATTCTTTAGTGAGTCAATGAGGAAAGACAAAGCTGGCTGAGGGAAAGACAACTCCGAGATGACTCAGAGTCATTCACAGGAAAATGACGAGATACGTCTGGCTAAAACGTCTCTCTTTGATAAAACAGCAATAACAAAAGGGAAGTCACAGATTACTGCATTATGCAAGAGATTTCTCCTTGTTGTCATTTAATGACTAGCCCCTTGCATCATCGCAAGGTTTACACCCCGTGGAAATTGCTCACACAAGTAAGAAGGTGCCTGATAGCAAATCCCAGGTTCCCTTGCCGAACAAGACAACAATTGCTTGGCAACACTCTCACTGGGAAGAAGGGAAAAAACCAAACAAAAAAATATAGAGGGTGGGTTTTTCTTTCTTGTACATTGATATCTCAGCTTTGATGATCTTTTCAGAAGGCACAATAAAAAAAGCAACAAACCAAAGACTGAAGAAATGGTAAACAACAGAAGCAACAGGAGGTTGAGATAAAATGCAGACCTACACCTTGCACATGACCACACACACATGCATGTATGCAAATCTTTGTGGAAACACCCTCCCACACACACAATTGCACTTTGCATACAAAAAACATCAAGTGGTGCACACGCAGACAGGCAAAGCAGAACAGTTTTTTTTGTTGCTATTGTTCGTAAGACTCTGAGCTGAACGCAAACTCCTGAAACCAATCTGTCAGATCTCTCACAGCTCCGAGCTAGAGGAAGTCCCCAAACTTAAGATTGACAGCTGTACTTTTATTACTGACTAAGTTACGTTTCCTTGGAACAAAAAAAAAAAGGGAAGCCAGCTTTGATAACGGAGGGTGCCGAGTCAGCAGCTTGGCTCAATACAGAAGATGGCTTGACTGATCTCAGCTGAGGCCATCCTGATCCTGATGCGGAAAGAATTGGCTCCCAAATTACTATCCAATCCATTTCTGGAGCTCACTTTTTCTAATAAAAGTAGCCTCTGAGCTGTGAGGGGAGCCTTGAAGATGCTTGTACCGGCCAAAAAAAAAGATACTAATCAAATTTCAAAACTAAAGGCTATACTCTTAATTTTAAATTACTACACTCAAGTGTTTTCCGGTTGGGGGTCATGGAAGCCTGTTGAACCTTTCCTTAAAAGCAGGAAGCAGTAAACTCCAGTTATTCATCTCATTTCAGGGGAAAAGAAGCAACCTGTGAGAAATTAGACTCTTAAAAATTGACCTATTTCTGCAAGTTTATAGAGAGGGGGTGTAAACTGAGGCACGGATCATGCAACCTTCACACTAAATTGATTCACAAAGTTACGCCCCCTCGGCTAGGAACCAGAGCTAAACTTCTGAGCACCTACTCCAACCTTAAAACCCTGAAACTAACCCAAATGCACTTGAAAGAGACTCAACTTGTCATCATTAAAAACTGACTTATAAACAGCACTAGCAATCTGTTTCCTCTTTTGCTTGTTATACAAAGTCCCTTGAGCATGTCTGTTTGTTTAATCTTAATATATTCTTAACTATGCAGTAATTAATGCAAGAGAAAGGGCCCTCTGAAATCATCATCTTAGTGTCCTGAAGCAGGAGGCACAGCTACACCAACTTAAACATGTTTGCCTCCTGTCCAAAGCAAGGTTAACCAGACGGAAACATCGCAAGGCAAATGTTGTGTGGGCTGCTTGGGTTGTGGATACAAAGCAGCTGCTTCCAGATGTTTACAGCTGTGATGATGACGTAGAGCATCGCAGAGACATTGCTATGCGAATAATCAAAGCTGTGGTGTGAATTACAGGTGCACAGGGCAGGGTTTGATTACCCTGCATAAGCCCCCCCATCTTTATTTGTCCTCTAGTACATTCACCATGAACGTAGTAAGAAAGGAGGAAAGGATATTGTGTTAGGATTTCAGATCTCCCTTGTTTTTCTTGCGATGCTCAGGTTTCTGTTAGGATAAATGGCTGCTTCATCTACTTTTAATTATTACTAATCAGATACTGATTTTATGTTCATGAAAAAGCCAAGAAGAACAACCATCAGGATTAAAATAAAGTTATAATAAATTATTAACTGTTTTCAAAAAGACCCAGGCTCAAATGGTGACGGTGAAGGCCATCTGGCATTTGTTTAGCTATGTGACAGTGACAGTAATACGGTGCAGGATTGTGTGAAGTGTTACAGAAGCAAAGAAGCAATGTCAGTAGTGTGGTCTTTTCACAATGTTTAACGTGTAACAAACTATATATAACATAAGCATAATACAACAACAGCCATATTAGTTTCAGATCTATAGCTTACCAAATTGTCATATCAGTGCAGCCCTACTTGGGTTAAAAAACAAAAAAATAGTGGGGCAGATTTATCCAGTGTGCAGCACTTCAATATAAATTCCACAGAGTAGAGAAACATGGGCAAGTTTAGCTGGTTTTGTTTTCATCAACCCTGACTTTTATTTAGCAGTCTTTGCTGTTTCTCACAGGGTGAACACGCAAGAAAGACAACCATACAATCGAACAGTCACTCCGAAGAGCAAGTTTAAATTACTCTGATATAAACGTGTTAAAAAAATGTTAAATAGTTTCCAAACGATTTCAAATGTGAAATTTTCAGATAAAAAAATAAAAAATAGCTGCTCATGGAGGACCCCTGCTAGTCTTGGGACCTGCTGCTTAGCTTGCTTTTTCCTCAGGCCGGCTTGGTGTCACGACATAGTTCATACCCCAGTCATGAGGCTAATAAGAAAGCATGCATCACGTCCAGTTTATCCAACGTTACAACTATCTTAAAAAATATATCATCTTGGGTCCTCATGGATTTCATTCTGCTACTGGGAGAAACTTCTCCCTCTTCTTGTGCTCCAGGCTGGGCTCACTCAGATTGTTTTTTATCAGGGCTCATTTGCATGCAATCTGGAGCGTCTGGCCAGGGCTACATCATAAAATATAACTCATCAGCGCGAGTAGGTCGTCTACCAACTCAGTAAAGCTGTCACCATACTGCGAATACAGCAGGAATGAGTGCTGGCGGCGGGACGAGCGAGGAGTTAAATGATCCTAGTCGGTTTGCAGCCAGCAGAGGATTCAGGTTGAAGTGGATGAGCACATGCTGGAAACGTATCCGCACACAAAGACCCCAACTTTTATCATCATAAACAAAGTCGAATGAGGCTTTTGTGACCATATGAACAAAGCTCTTGTTTATTTATTTATTTGTTTATTCCCCCCCACCCCCCAGTCATCGATTATGCGGCAGGTTTACAGACAGGTGCAGCTCAAACTTGCGCTGAAGGCGAATAATAAGCAATAAACTTCCATGTGTTGATTAACAATCCTTCCATCTGCAACATGTCGGACAGAGGAAGGGTCCTAATTCTCCATTAGGTCAGGTTTTCACCTTGAAGAAGCCGTAACCTTGCAGGTGCGGGCTAATTGAGGAGTGATATACAGCTAGCAAATTACTGAACAATAAAAGCTGCCAAGAACGTGCTCCGTCACGCGCCCGGGCTTTTCCAGAAAAAAAAAAAACACTATAAGCTAACAAAAAACTCACGTGCGATGTTTTTCAAAATTATTACAGCCCGGTGCGCCTTTCCTTTTTTTATTTTTTTTTTTTACAACATGAATAGTTGAATGAATAAATGAAATAATAAAGTGTAACTTACCGCCGGTGGAGGCGATGCCAGCGAACGTGAGCCCGAGCAGAAGAAGCGCAGCGTTGAAGCCGCAGCGGACAAAGGGGCCCGGAGATAAGGGCATCTTTCAGCTGTTTCGATCACTTAAGTTTCAATGAAAACGAGAGCAGCAGAAACAATCTGTTTTCAAGACCGTAGAGTGTCCTCTGAGGCACTTTTAGGGCTTCTTTTTTCGTTAATAAGTGTCTCTTTTTTTCTTTTTGCCTCAGTATGTATCCTCGTGCCGCGCCGTGGCCATCAGCATCCAGCTCGTGCGTCTCCGTTGCTCAGAACAACGCATCACAGGTGTGGTGGAGGAAACTGCTGCCTTGTGCTCGCCCCGGTTCTTACTGTAGCCGCTACTGTATCCCTCCAAAGCCGATCACAACTCTCTCTGTGTCGCTGCGCCGAAGAGGAGGAGAAGGAGGAGGAGAATGACTGCAGTTTCTGCTTGTTCCCGTCAACTTTGCAGCCTGCGCCTGCAAGGATACCTTCTCCAAATGCGAAAATCGTGAGAATTGGCATCGGAGGACAGAACATCTGCTTGCACAGCAATGCTGGAGTGCTGAGAGTCGGGGAAGGTATACACACAGAGACACAACACGCTGCGTTGAAGGCAAGAGGAGCAAAACCAGGAGCGGATCGCGTTTGGGGAACGGATCTCGCCCGCTGCCCAGTGTCTTACCAAAACATTTGCATATCATCAATAAGCATAACTACAAACCACGCACTGGCAGTGCACGAAAGAATGGAAATGAACGCGCCCGTACTCTTGCGAGTGTGCTTTTCATATCCTCTGCCTTACATGAAAAATGATGGATATGTCATTCAGCCCTGCATGATAGGAATCACATCGATGCTTTGCATACAAATTCAGCACAGATCGCATCTGCATGTCATTGAGTTTCTGTTAAATAGGCCTTTGGTTCGTCTGGAGGCGCATGAGTGACGGACAAACACAGATGAAGGAACCTGAGGATTAGCGCTCCCGTGAGAAGCCATTCACCTGTCAGCAAACTCTGCAAACCAAAATGTGACTCCAGAAAGCTTCTCTGGCATTTATTTATTTATTTATTGCAGGGTGTCAGAGGAATGATTGTTCGACTGCTCGGCCATTTCCTTTGACTATATTACCAAGAAATCAATGGCAAAGACGATTTTAGGATAGCAGTTTTCTTTCCAGTTTATAATTCGACACAATAAAAAAGTGTCAAATTAAAATAAACTATTGTCCACCCACTAAAAGAAAAATTTCACAAAAATTTTCTTTGAAAAAATTTGTGAAATTTCAGTGAAAATTTTAGAGCTTGTTCTGTTTCGTGCGTTTTCTTTGACATCAAACATCGTACACTAGAGGCATTTAAAAACGTATAAAAAAGACAAGAAATTTAAAAGTACAGTATTAGTAGTACAAAGTCGGAAATGACCTCTTAGACAGATTTGTTATGTTTTCTATGTCATCACCTGATGACATGTAAATGTGCTACAATAAATTACAAACCACTAGAGATCAGACACAACTAGTATCACTTTCCATTGATTCACTGACTTGGTTCATAATTTATACATTTTCGTCTCTTCTGCATATGAGTCATAAGTTCTGTCATTCTAGTCAAAGGATCTAAAGGGAAATGCCCTGGCTGATGCTCCGATGGACACCATGCCTACCCAATGGACTGACATAATCTCTGGGGGACAAATGATGCCCACCCAATCATTAAACAAATCAGCTAGCATTAATTATTAAACGGTGTGGCAGATGATGCCTTTTGGCTGTTTTTGATATCAATTTTGAGGTATTTGAGCTATGTTTAAGTTGCACGGTGTTCAACCTTATTGTATTTGAGATTGAGTTTGACTTTGATGACCCCAAAAGCATAATAGACACTGCTGTGTATAATGCAAAGCTGAAATAAACTGTGATTATGATGATCATATTCAGACCTTTTGGTAAATTTGTTTAAATTCCTGTTTAGATTTTCTCATGCACTGCTTTTGGAAATAATTTAAAAATCTCTAATTTACTGTGAGAATTAAAAGTATTTTTTTGTCTGCGAAACAATCCAGCATAATTATAAGTGCACCTGCTCTTTATTGTGCCAGTGAGGGTCTACTTTGAATAACTATAACATTTGATTAGGGCAATTATTAATAACTAGTCATTTAGATCAAAATTACCAAGTCGAGGCACCACCTGATTGTCAGGAATATAATAGCCAAATCATGGCCAAATTGTGCAGTCTAAGTTGTTTATAAAAACCAATAACATTGACAAAGGTGATTATTTCAAAATGATAAAATATGTATTTTTGTCTGAACTAGAAATCGGAAATTTGGAAAATTTACTCTCAATCTATCCGTTACTGCATTGATGGATCGTTTAAGAATTAAAAATAGCTAAATAATGGACAGAGAGCACTTGTTGCCACTCATAAAATAGCACCTTAAACAGATCAAAATAATAAAATTTTTTGCTGAGGAAGCGATTTATAGTTAGACCAAAGTGATAGACAACATTATTGTTTATGAGCATCAGCATTCGCTAGACGCCGATGGTAAAAACAGCTCCCTATCACCTGCGGTCCTAAAAACAGTTAGCAGAGGCGTTTCATGAGGCACCACCTGACTGTGGCTAGCACAGGTCAGCTTGGAAAAGTAGGATGTGTTTTAGTTCTTGTTTGCCCAACATTCGCATCATTTGGGTAGAAGGTGGCCAAACTCAGTGAAACTTCTCAACTCTGGAGAGGAGCTGAATAGGCTGCGTCCTCTTCTGCCTTGGGAAAGTGGCAGCCTGTGTCAATTTCCAGCACCAATCTTGGGAACTTGTAATTTAAAGGGTTCTTTTTGCAGAATTCTGAATAAACCAGGATCAAGGTTTATCATTTTGGATGAATTAGGTACTGAATCCAGTAATAGCAACCTGTGTTTTTGGATCCAGGACATGGAGTGGACTTTCTCTCTGCTGGTGTGAGAAAGTGCTGTCCTCCATCTTCACCCATTGTCACCTGAGGCATGCACAAGTAGAAACTTGTGTCTGGGAGGGTAGATCAAATCTTGTTTAAGTAGTAGTTTTAAATAAAATAGCCACACTAACCAAGACAAGTTGTTCCGCTTGACAGGTGACAAACCATATCTAATGAGTGTTTGACAGAAATGTCTGGCCAGTCACTTTAAAGGTGGAGTGTAGGTGTCTTTGTTTATTCATTCCTCCACTCCCACATATAGTCAGCAGAATAATAAGTGGAAGCACATAGCTGGACCAATGACTTACCAGCTAATTATGGGACTCATGTAGATGGATGATTCCTTAGATAGAGCTCAGCTATTACAGCCTGCAAACTCATTAAGCCCTTCTCTCTGTCCAGCATCCCCAGCTAAAGGTCAAAGTCAAAGTGAGAATGACACCAGCAAGCACGGACACATGCAGAAATGCACAGCCACAATCAAACCCTCACAGGCACACTGAATGTGAGGGAGTATAGAGGCAGCTATGAGGCGGCCAAATGGAGGAGAGTGACTCAGCCTTGGTCACTTGTGAGGTTGCTCGTAATGATCTCTCTCATTCTGCTAATCTGCTCCACGTCCTATCAGGCTGTGCAAGCTGGAGCGTGGCTCTTGCAGTCACTGCGTGCTTCTCTTTTTTATTTATTTATTTCTCAGAAAAAGCATTTAAACTACATGCATTTCAAATGAGGATCAGAGGATGTGTACATATAAATACATGGTCATTTATACAATCCTCTTTCAGGTCAGAAATGGTGCTTCGGTCCTTTTAAGGAATTATCAGAATGTGTTTTCTGTCTGCGGCGTGTGTTTGCTGAGTGAAAGCAGGGCCATAACCTCCTCCACACTCTTCTGGGTCTTCGTCTGCTTCCTCAATCAGGCTGCAGTGAACAATCACAGCTCTTTTGGGAGTTGACACAAGCAGTTGTTCATCGATCTGTGGTGTTGTAATTAATTTTCTTCCCGTCATCGGCTTGAGTTACAATATCCTAAGACGCACTGCAATCAATCACAGAACCGAGACAGACCCATCATTTCTATTGTGGCGTCCAGAATGAGCCGCAGCAGCTATGATCCTAAGAGACGTGCTCAATGACCTGACAAGTGTTAAGAAAGCACACAGCATCATTTGTGTGTTTTGTGTTCGGCGTTTGTCCTTAAACCAGCGCAATTACACACCCAGCCTATAAAGATAACTGATTCTCTTGGTCAATATGTATCGATCCGAAGGAGGTGTCCAGCATGAAATTAATATTATTTACTGTTTACAAACAAAACACTGGAGGTCCCTTGAGGGAGGGCAAGGCAGTCCAGGCCTCGACAGTCTGCTTTCTAGCAAAGGCTCGTTGAGGCGGGTGTATCAGCTTCCATCATGACCACAGCTTCACGGCCTATTGTTTTGTTTATATCAAATTAAACTGCAATGCTACTCCGGAGAGATATAATTGACCACAGTCTTAGATTAAATGACTGTAAAGATCTTAATAAGCCATCAGCGGATTGCATATTACATTGCAGAGCACTTATGAGGATGCAGTCCAGTGAGGATGAAATTGAGGTTCAGATTTGCACACCGCAGCATTTTCTGCCATTAATAACATGCAAAATAACTGTATGATGATCAATAGTGAATCAGTTTAATTACATATTATTGATCTGGGGTTAGAAAAATTAATTACAAGCCAAATGGGTCCCAAAGATGATAAAAAAATATGTATATTATTTTAATATCACAACATCTCCAGTGGCTCTTTAAGACATACAGCAGATAATGGATTCACAAGTCCTCCACAATTAAAGCACATTTTATTCAAGCACAATAACGGCTATCGCCATCGTAACTCCTGGCTGCAACTCTCACTGCCCTACTAAGGATGTGAAGATCTGGATATGTGCGTACTGCTTTGTTTAATTAAATAATTCCACGTAAGTGCAGATAAAGTAGTCACCGAGAGATCTCAGCACATCCTTAAGTGGGCAGGAGGACTAGACAAGAGTTTAAAAAACAGAGGAAGAGCTGCGAAAGAGGGGGATGGAGGATGAAGGAGCCTACTGAAGGTCTCTCATTTCAGCAGCACAGACTGCTGATGAAGCTGAACTTTCAATATCCCACCACTTCAGCTCGGATGGTTTCTCAATTTTACAGATATGGCCCCAGAATATGATTAGATGAAAATGTAAAATGGGATAAGCAGCAAGTCACGTGAAATGGGCAGCATTTTAATCCATGACCATAAATCAAAAGCAGACACTCTTAAAATTAAAGTTGATTTTAGAGAAATTAAAGGTGTCCTTTCTTCTGTAACCATTTTTGAGCAGATTCTTTGTGCGTTGAAAAGATTTAGTTGCAGAAATCAATATAAATATTATTAGAGTGAAACTTTATAGATTTATACAATTTATTTATTGTTGCCAAACTGATTACACCTGATCTAAAGTATTGCATTTTTTGTTTTCACATTTTATCTTGTCGTAATTCTTCTACTGCTTTGCTATTAAATATTTCAGTGCATTTTAACATGTTTCCTATTATCTTTGTTCCTATAAGCTTCACTCAGAGCAAGGGCAACTTTTACAAT